TTTCTTAATGCTCCTTTTATTACCGGGTCAGAATAGTATTATTCTGACTAATAGGAGTATTATTTATTATGACTAATAAAAGGAACAAGCTCTTTTGCACTCACAATTTGACTACCTGTAATTTTAGTGTTCCACGACAAAAGCATCCCAAACAAGCAGCATAAGCCAAATCACACCTTAACTTTGAATCTGTATTATCTGTTCCGAGACAAAGAGCTGATTTGAGTAGCAGTCACTGCTTCAACCAACCCCACCCCCAAACCCCTCCAATCCAGGCACTCCCAAGTTTTGCATTTCCTTGCCTAGTTCTACTAATCCCCTAATAAAAAATACCCAAACATTCAGGACATAACTACTTGGCATAAATCACAGGTTTTTCCTATGCAAAGCTGCACTAACCTGTCCCTAAACTAACCTCATCCCATTATGTAGCAATGAGGGAAATCTTTGAAATGAATTGCACCACTAACTGGAGAGCTGCAAATACTCAGCATCAGTTTCTGTTAATGTGCTTAAAGATATCCTAGACTAGATTCATAGAATACTCAAAAAATGTCATGTATAAGAACATTTCCACCGTTAACCAGACACTGAAAGCTTTCCTATCTTACCTGTAAAACTGATCCCTGTCTTGAACAGCTCTCCATCCTCCTCCGCCGCCGCCGCCTCCTCTGTGAATACAAAAGCAGAATGACTTTTCAAAATGTTAAAAATAAACAAGAAGTTCATTGTACGAGCAAAAACCACCATCAAGCATAAGAAAAGGATGTGAAGAATACATTGGTTCCTACACTGGATAATGCTAAATTACTTTGTTACATTCATTTTTGTGTATTCCTGGAATGAGTTGGCTAAACTCTGTGTCAAGGAGCAGCTAAAAGGACTCACGTTCCAGCTGACCCAATATTGTCTTTTACAATGTCACACCCTCCAACGAGCAGCATTTTGACATCAGTACATAGCCTTTGCTTCTAAGACCCTTTCTATTCTCAGATGCTCACCCACTTGAGGCAAACTTTTTTTTTTTTTTTTTTTTTTTTTTTTTTTTTTTAAGTAGCAAGATCAATTCACCATCCTGAGGAAAAACGGCTTGATTCCAAGGTGGAGGCAGGGGAAAAAGAAAAAAAAAACAACACACTCTTGCATTTTAACACTTCACAATAATGTTTAAACAAGAGCATTTAAGACCTAAGGTACAACTTCTCCTTACACAGAAGCTGCCTAGAACTGAAACAATACATTATAGTATTTAATATTATTAAGTAGTTAGGCTGGTAGCTCCACAGATTTACATACAGTGAAGCATGACCAGGAAGAGATAAATCAAGTTTGGATTATGGAACAGTCCCTGCCACAGATGTCTCACAGCAGCTCAAAAAGGCTATAAATCATAGAAAGGACAAAGAACCCCCAAACACTACACCACTCTTTCAATCAGTAGGTCTCCTTTTTTTTAAATTTTATTTTTAAGTCTTCGCCATTTGGTAGATAGCTAGTGTGCAAGTTAAGGTTTTTAAGGTTATTCTTTAGTTTACAGATACTTTTCCAGACAAGATTAAACATCCCACAGCAATGAGGAGAAATTAAAGTTTTAACAGGACAATTCCCATCTGAAATTGGACTTGCCTTAAGGCTTCACTGCACAGAGGGCAAGGAAGGGAAAATGCAAAGTAATTGTTACCAATTGATTTTCTAGGGTGGAGTACTAGTATGTAATGCTCTACTGCATCTTTAACAATTCTTTTTTTTTTTTTTACCTCAAGGAAGCACTCACAACATACACAACACCATTCTCCCTCCCTCAACCAACCAGTATCTGCAGGGTGAAGAAGTAGGTATCTAACCTGGGCAGACCATGATATTTTAAAAGTAGCCACACACAAACCAGTTGTGGCTTACTTTCACCCTTTCAATATCTGCTATGAAAAGACTTTATAAAGGTTCTGCAGTGAGCTTTAAAACATTGGGGTGTGTGGGGTTTTTTGGTTGTTTTTTGGTTTTGTTGGTTTGTTTGTTTTAAAGATAGGAAATGGCTATCAACCTTGCTGAAATTGTCAATATTCTGAGTATTTCCACCCCAAAGCCCTAGTTCACAACAGACAGAGGATGGGAGAGCATGTAGGAAGGTCAGAACATCACCCAGCACGTGACTGCCTCAAAGTGTTGGACTGAAGCACGGCCACGGATTCTGATATGCTACACTCAGACTAGTACACAAACTGAAGCAGTCCACCTTCTCACATCACTTCTTACTAGTCTGCTCTTCCTCATCTAATGCACGTACTCTTCTTCATGTTCAGTCGCTACCACAGCCTGCAACCATTCTCACTAGCATGCACCCAGAACTGATGTAATTACAACTTCTGATAACATTTTAGAAACATCTGAGCCCCTGTCCACTAGCAGGAAAGAAAAAGGTAACGCAAGCACTGAAGACCTGGGGTCATGTCATAATCTAAACAAGGAATAAATGACATTTTAAGAACACGCAAGCAACAAACAACAGATTTCAAGGACAACCAGTAAAGCCCGAAGGACCATTTATGAAAAAGGAAATCTGTACCATGAAATGCAAGAAGAAAGATCGATGGCATGAAACTCTCACCAAACACTGCACAGCCCCCCATCTTTTGCTGGTCCTTAGGTGCCTTTGCCATTTTGATAGGTTTACATCAGAACCACATACAAAGAAACCAAAAAGTGGGAGAAGCGAGCTAGAAGCACCACTCAGACTGCTTAGCGAGCCATGTTGCAAGACTTTTCTGTTCCCCAAGATTTTGGCAAGCTGCTTCAGTTAATTTACTCACTAGCCTTCATTATTTTTTAGGATATTGAGATGATGCTATGTTAACTATCCTGAGTAAGTTTTTGTACCTTGTGCTTTGAAAGAAACTGGAAGTTTGGTCAAAAAACTGCTTTGGGTCACATCTACTTCATAAGAAAGCCCATATAGAGGTGCTGGCAAGGTGAAAACCAACGTATCTTGGTTCTCATACACCCAGTATCAACTTCTGATTTTAGCTGCTACAGTTCTCCAAAACATTCAAATCACTGATGTTTCAAGAAAATAGGTGGTTAGAGGCAGAAAAGTACCCTAACGACTACCTCCCAGAAGTGTCAGAAGAACACTTGTGCCTCCTGTGTTGACTGTGATGATGTAGAGCACCTTGATCCCCTCCCTGTCCCCAGCAGCACTGAAGCGCTGCAGAAGCAAGGCACCTGATGTAAATGCCAGTAGCAAGGCAGCGAAAGAAGAAACAGGACTGGAAGCAATGGCAACAGCCTGGGAAGGAGAAAAAGCTGCTGAAAGGGGTATGAGGGGAGGGAAGAGATAACTACCCTCCATCACCAGCAGTGACCAGACAACTATCAGTATAAGAACAAAGATATTTTCTTCTACACCGAGAAAGCAACAGAAGAACACACTGAAAGCTAAGATCACAGAATTTAGTATTTGCCTTGTCTTTGAGCTATAATGCGATAATGCAACTTGAATTCATCTATTTCCATGAACACATGGTTGCCCTTCAGGGAACAATCGTAAATCCACCCCCCTGCTCACGCATTTAAGCTAGGCAAACAACTCAGGAAGTGCTACAGGATTCTGCAGATACATTTAGTAATTACTAACAGTTAATTTTTTACTGTCTTTGTGTCCAACTTTATAGTGTCCAAACAAACTGTGAGGATTTCACATGTGGTAAGTCCTGCTGGCTGTCTTAATGGAAAAATGCAGAATTCAAGTTTGCTCTAACTATCATCAAAACCAATTCCATACCAACCATGTTTTCAACAGCTTTTGTATGACCTTTACTAGCCCTCTGACAATGTGTATTGCCACCTGAATAGTCACCCCTTTCAATGAAGTTAACTACTGTGCTATCGAACACGGAAGTTTAGGCTGAAGAAGGCAGGAGGTGCAAGTCTCTCAAGTAGAACACATACATCCAACCTGATGTTGAAAAAGGCTTTTCATGCAAATGTCCAAAATAGTACAGGTAATGTTCCAATCCCCAATGCCTTATTTTTGGCAACATTTGAGGTGCCAGAATCATTACTTGGGGACCACTGAAACTTCCTGCTTTTTGTCTACTACATTACACTCAAAATGTAAGTTGGCACTACAATACAAACTCAGGTATTGGATCTGCACCTGTATTCCCACCATTTTGTAATGCTAACAGATAAATCAACAAAAGATTCTTTTAAAATGACAGTATAAGGAAGATACTTTTTTCCCCAAAACTTAATGCAGATTAAAAAAGCATTATGGACTACCTCATGCCACAGGTTAAACATCGCAAATTATTTCCCAATCTGATTTGTACTGAGCAGTCATTTTGGTAAGGATTTCATAGTAGGATTCCAGAATGACAGCGAGTACAAAAATATTTTGGCATACATATGTAGGATGAGCTGCTTAACACCTACATAGAGGTGTGGAGGAAAAAGCAGTTTAAAAAGCAGTCGAATATTACAAATATTGCCTCACCTGTATGATCTGCTGTAATAATCACGATCGTCATAGCCTCTATCATACCCTCTGTCGTAGTAATCTCGTCGTCGTGAGCTGCCACTACAAGTAGTGAAAGAGAATTACGTTTAATAAAATAAACCATTAATATTGTCTGCAGTGCTTTTCAGTAGGCATACCATCAATCAAGTACACACCGTTTCAACTGGGTTATATTATTAACTCATGTCCTCACAGTTGAAATGATTGTGAGCACTCCTACTTTCCAATCAGTGCAGCTGGGAACAGAACTACTTAAATAATTGCTTTTTAAAATGCTTGCACTTTAAGACAGCTACTTTCCTCCTTGGTCTGAAACCTCTTAACCTTTTGATATCACAGGCACACGAGGAATTCCATTCTGTGACAACTCTTCATTCACTTTGAACTCTCAGAAAGCTCCTTTTGGAAGAACTTTCCCATTAAAAAACTTTACTTGCAGGCTCAACACAGTATCAGCTACATGACCACCAATACTGTAAGCTGAAAGTCTTGGGAAAACTGGCAAATGACTTGGGAAAACAATTTACATTCTTGGCATCTTTAAGTCAGAAGTGTACTCTGTGGATAGGGCAAACTCTGCCATGCAGCTGCTCAATTAGTATTTGTTAATATACCCTTGAGAACTTGAGCTTGCAAAAGCCATTAATGTTTGAAAGTACATTGGGCAACGTTCATTAATCAGAAGCAGTGAAAAAACTTAGAAATTGTGAAAAAAAATCTTATTATAGACTTTTAAGTGTTTACATAGCTCATGTCTGGGCAGCGCTACTAAGGAATACAGGTTTCTGCTCACTGTAATCCAGGCTGACCCCAGATCAGTCACTGACAACTGCTGTATAAATTAACCCCTATCTAAAGATATGCATTACTACTGATGGCTGTCCACATGTAGTCTTTTTTTGCCCCTTTTTTTTTTTAGTTCTGAAGAACCTCCTTTATTAGGTTTTTTAGTTTTCAGAAGCTTTGCTAGATAACCACATCACTGTTATCACAGCTTTTGTTAAGGAGATTTAAAAAACCAAATGTAATCAGACGTCAACAGCGATTTCTCTATTTCAGTTTCTAGTACTGAAACATCCACATGCTATACAGCACACAAGTCAGAAGCAAGTGAACACCTTTTTGCATTAACGCAAAAGCCTGGTAAACTAGGGAAAACACAAAGAATCAGGTCTCTTGGAGGGGATACAGAACGGTTTTTAACAAAACACAAGACACAATTAATCCTATGCCATACTGGCTTTGAGAAAAAAAACACATAGGTAACTTACTAAGTCGGTCTTCCCATATAGATTCCAGGGGTAGGTGTGTGAGGTCTTTTTGTTATGGAGAAGTCTACCCGGATCCTTCTTCCATCCAGCTCCATTCCATTGGCACGTTCCTTTGCCTAAGCAGTGTGATAAAATACAACTGGTTGTAGGTATGAACTTTATTACTGACACAAGTTTCTGAACACTGCTTCAAGGATTAAGAGAAGTCCTAAAATGGCTCAAGTTAGGATGTGCATCCAAGTTTCACTTATGCCTTGTACATTACACTGAACCTAAATTCTAATATGTTCTAGGACAGCTGGGTAATAAGCTTCAGTAACCACTTAAAACGTGAATCATATGGCATAAAAAGCCTGAAAAGAGCATAATTTAACAACTGGGTCAGTATCTCTGTTTCTAACATGATTAAGAGGAACCTTTGAACATGCTGATGTAGGGAGATGTAGCTACTCCAACAAGCAACATTAAGAAAGGCATTCAGAAGTTAGAGCGCACTGTTATGTTGTTTTTTTCCCCCCCTCCAATACAATCTCAAAACCTACTATAACCTTGAATATCTGAATGATAAGTAAATCTCAAATAAAAAAAGCCAAAAGCACTGGTTTTCTTCTGCCAAGTAACAGTACCTACATCCAAAGCTCCAACCTCACATGGAAGTCTTCATGCCAAATTTGGAAAAGATGACACTAGAAATTTTAAGCAGTGGAATTTATGCAGAACATAAGCCTAGTTACAGCCCATAAGCACACTGCTCTCCAATGGCTGCCCTGAATATAGAACTCCCTGCTCATTCGGTAGCACTGGTAAGCACAAATGCCATAATTTGTTATATGGTATTAAAACTGCTTTAATTTATTGAATCCCTTAGGGTTTTGCAGGAACCAGGAAGCCACTGTGCATTTGCCTGGCCTCTTATTTTCAGAAAAGATCCTCCCCACCTCACTTTCAGACTGAAGCACTAGAAGTCAGCAGAATGCATGTGAGCACTCCTACAGAGCGCTCCGATATGGCCGGCTGGTCCACCCTGACCATGCCTGTTATTAAACCTTAAGATCACATGTGGGCTTAGGAAGGAACTCTCATCATTAAAACAGAGAGCCTGTGTTTTGTTTGCTTTTCCTTGTTGGCATAGTTTGCACTATGGCTAGGCTGAAGTTTGCTTTTGTGAATTACAGCCTGCAGAGGGATCAGTACTCATGCCTCTCTCCTCCGGTACACAGTAGATATCTTTTGAACTAAGACTCTGACATCTATTATGAGGCACCAAGTATCTTTTAGGCCTTGAGTTTCGCCAGGCTAGATCCTGTTACAGAATATACATCCCAGCAACTGAGAACATGGCAAATATGCCATACATTCTGTTCCCCAACCTACCTCCTTAGCATCCTCAACGTTTTCGAAGTACACAAAGGCAAATCCTCTTGAACGTCGAGACTGCTGATCATACACAATGGAAACATCAGCAATTGGACCATACTTGGAGAAAACTTCTCTCAGATCTCTTTCTGTGGTGTACAGACTCAATCCAAACACGCCAAGACAACAATTGGGGTCTGGATTTGCCTAAAGGAAGGGACAGATATTAGAATAAAATTGCTTGTATTTGTAATACGAGGTATTTTACAAGTTGTGAGCATCAGAGATTCAAGCTAAAACAACAACAACAAAAGAAACTGCTGAGATTCAAGTTGGGTTAACTTGCTAATAGACACTGTAACAATCAAACCCACAAACCCCCTTTCACAAAAATACTTTGTATTTCTCAGGGTACCGTACAAACTATAGATATGGCACAGAACAGATACAGTATTTAGAGTTCTCCCTCCAAGGTCTAGCCGATGACTGTTGAACAGGGAGAGATACACACAGAGGCCTGGATCACACCATCATTTGTGTTAGTTATCACTAAGTTATCAACTTTAGCACGAACCACACCACCGTCAGCCACCTCAGCCTGTAAGGCAGCTAAAAGCAAGGTGGTTTGCATGCTCATTTAATGAAGACACCATCAAAACAGCTTCTAATGAAACGTTTTAGTTTTCCAGGCTTTCTACTCAAGAACAGGACAAATATTTCTCCCTCCTAATTCTACCCCCATCCTTCACTGCAGACATTCACTCATTTATTACAGCAGGTATAGTAACAAGAGCCTGCACTACTAACACTGCTGCACTGCTAACACTAGTCTGTTAAAAACCAGACAAACTAGACATCTTTTTTAAATAGGTTTTGATTTAAGACACCTCTTTTAAAGAGACCTGAGCAGGAAAGCAGACTGTCACTGAATTAATTCAGTCATTTCGGGATTTATTCAGGACTATGTACGAGTCACCTACTTCTGTAACAGACATACCCTGTTTCCAATATGACGTCTGCGAGTAGACATGGGTGAATGGCTGTGACTGTGTCGTCGCCGATAATCCCGACTGTAAGACCTACTTCTGGATCTCCTATGAGAGCGGGAACGAGAGCGTGATCTTGTGTAGTGTCTACGGGAACTCCTCCTTGATCTAGATCTGAGGAAAAAAACAAAAGAAAAAAGGTACAGTGTTGGGCTGGGTTTTTTTAACCCTTCAAAAATACATCAGATCTTCACAAACAAAAAGCCCAAATAACCATTTTCTAAAAACCTGCAGTACCACATGATTCAGCTATAATGAATTTAGTCACTACTCTCAAGGACTGTGCGCTAAATCTTTACAATTAGATTACTGCGTATGCTCTCAGAGTATTTCTACTGCAGAAAAGGAACCTCAACATCCATTTAAGTTAGCTTTTAATTCCTCACTAGCTTTTAACTTTCTCTAACAAGGGTATCTTGGTTTGACACAGTATATGCTTGGAATATTCACAGCATTTACAGTAGCATTTAAGTAAAGTAGCTGGGGTGGCTTTCTTTTAAAGACAGAAAAAGGGAACAGGAGTAAATATGACAACATAAAGCATACACGATTGCAGAGGTGCACACTTCTGCTTATTCCAGCACTCAGAATAGCACTGCTTTCAGTGACACTGAAAAGCAAATACACTTTTTACACAGTGCATAATTACAAGCCCAGAAGTCTGGCAAATGCCCCTGAAACAGAGCTTAATACAACTGAAGAAATTAAGCTGTATTAGGCTGATTTACCTTCTGGTATTTCAACAGTTATTTCACATTAGCTGTTCATGAATGTTTACACGTTCACACTTCAAGTGTATTTAGGCAAAGCTGTCACCGATTTCAGACCAGGCCTCCTCAGAACAGTCTCAGAAATGTTTCCTGACAGGACTAGGTGCGTGGAAATGAGGTCCTGAAACACTTCAATTCCTTCTGCTAAATCCTCAGCCCTCCCAACACAGACAATCTTCATTGAAAAGCTGGGCAGGTACTTAAACTGGAATATTACACCGGAGCTTGGCCTGCTGACGGCAGTCACTATCTGCATGCCACACAACTACAAAGAAAACTTCTGCAAGGCTAAGAAGTGCAATAAACAGTTTAAAGGCTCTTTGTCATACATTGTTAATCTTCAGACTTGTTTGTGTCTTAAGTGTCCTTCCTCTAGCTTGTGGAAGCCAAGGTAGCAAGTACTGACTGAGACCACAAGCCACCGTTGTGTTTCACAGTAACACAACCACTATGCTGGCATGAATTAAGCTCTTACTCTGAACCTGTTTTTACTCCTGAGCATTTAACAGCTTCTTCCAGAGTCAGGATTTCTCACTCAGTGTCACCAGACAGCCAAATTGCACGATATACACACTGTAACGTTACAGGCCTCCTTCTAAAAAATGCCTTCAACCTCTCCAGAAGTGAGCCAGCTAAGTTCTGTCTTCCTCAACTAGAAAAATATACACATGTCCAGGAGAAATTACTTCAGCATGTCCCATTACAAACACTTCTAGCTACGTATTTAGGAAGAATTATTTTTGGCAACAGAAAGCAAAAAAAAAAAAGATAACTTCCCTGAGGCACGGAAGACAGTAAAGACAGACAGAAATAATAATAACAAAAAAAAAGTTCAACGCATGCATACCACTGACACACTCAACCACTGACATAGAAAAAAAACTGAAGGCAAACACAGAACTGATGTTCCAGATAACGGAATGCACCCATTACACCAAACAAGAGCTGGACACTTCTAAAGCAGGCAATCCATTATGTGATAGAACAAGGTTTATTTTAAATAGGCATTGCTTATATTACTGCCTTAAATGTCATATTGCCATTATTCTCCTTCACTGCAAAGCCACCACAGCTGAAAACCCTATTTCTTGGTTAAGAATTGTTTAGACTTCAGAGTCAGCCAAAGATAACAAGCTTGCTATGCTGCTGCTGAAAACTTCAATAAAAGCAGATTTTTAAACCAAGTATATCCGCACCCCAACTGATAAATACGCCAGGAGACAGATTTGTTCCCAAATCAAAGTTTAATTTATAAAGCTGGTAACTGAAAAATACATTTGAGATAGAAACTGCCAGGAAATATGAAAGTTCTCACAAGGTTATTTCTCTGGCAAAAGCCAGAGTTAGATGACCTGCTCGTGATCCAAACGTGTGACGGCACTGAAAACAGATATAAGTATATTGGTTCTAAATATGTGCCTTGACACAATTCTGTCCAAATCTGCTAATGAACACACTCTAACTCAGCTAATATACTTCCAGTATTTCCAGAGACAGGCATTTTCAAGACAGCTGTTAAATGCTCAGGAAGCCGTGGTAGTCATAAGCTTCTACTTTTGTTCATCAAAAAGTAAAAAGTCAGTTGCCAAAGTATTATTTAAAGGGTGATTTCTTATAAGAGTAAATTATTTGCCAGGTTTCTCATAAATTCTAGATCTTGTATTTGCTTCTTCCAGCATTTTATACAATTTGCAATTGCATTGTTACACAGTACTATGGTTACTCTGCAAGTGAGAAACAGTACTTTTAAGGGAGTACGGAAGCCCTAGGGGTTATGGATTAAGGTGCAGAAGGACGTGCTGGGCTGGGTCCCGACTTGCTTGTTATTTTTAAATTAAAAGGTTTCCCAAAGGTGTTGTGCAGTTTCCAACCCCTGAGGTTTTCAAAACCCAACTGGATAAAGCCCTGAGAACATGGTCTGAGCCCAGAGCTGACTCTGCCTTGAGCAGGATTTTGGACAGGACCCTCCCCGAGCCGTCTTATGAGTCTCGCACTACCAGCAATTCCAGAGGTCACTCCCATTTCATACTCTATAACGCAGTATTATTCTACCAAGTATTTATTAATTTGACATCTTTGTTCTTGTGCTACAGGGATTGCCAAGTGCATGATTTGACACTTGTGACTGTGCCTGAAGTACACAGAAGAAACAAGACCATTCCTCTGCTGCCAAAATTTCCTGAGTATTTCCCTTCTCACAAAAGCCTTTAAAACTGATCACTTTGATCTTGCAAGGACACCTAAACACAGTACTTGATAGTGTTTTCCATCATGGGTGATTGCTAACAGCGCAATGTCTTCCAGCGTTGTCATCCTTCCTCCAGCCAGACCCTCAGGCTTTGGCAAGCCTGATCCATTGCTTATACACAAAAAAGTATATTATGAACAGCTCAGCTGGAAACCCCTCTGCTGAAGCCCATGGTTTTTTTAAACTGAACGCTTACAAGTGAGTAAAGGAGCTATCAACATACTCATTTCTGTAGCCAGCACCCAATTATCTAGACTCTTAAGAAAATAACATCATTCACCGATTTAGAGGTTTTGTTGCCTCTCTAGTCATTCTTTATTAAGTATGTACCGCTTACATAACACACCTGGTAAAGCCAATGAAAAGTGGCTAGCAGTGACATTTATAGTCTTATTTTTAGACTACCAGCCTATTTTATGCCTCAGTTATGTCTGTTAACAGTTTCAAGAGGAATTCTGTCACTGCACACAGCTAGTTTAGCAGATGTGTATACGGATAGGGAATGCAGTGCAAAAAGACATTTTCATAGCGTACATTTGCGCTGCCACATAACAAATACAGTAAGCAAGCTACTTTCTCCAGGACTTTTTTGGAGAGCTGGGAAAGCTGTCTAATTATTTAAAGCTTTCCAGCCTGTTCATTTTCAGTTAACTAAACATGTATTTAAAAGGTCAGACAGATGTCTGTTGAAATTCACATTTATCTCTACTGCTTCTTTTTCAGGGAATATACTGTTAACTGTTCCAGAAACGTCACTGCTTCTAGTGAGAAAACTTAATACATTAATGTGACCTAAAATGGAAAATTTGCTGATGCATGTTATTTCTTTTAATGCACAGAAAAGCCAAGATCTAGAGTTCCTAATGCTTCACACTCAGATACCAGCCTCTATTCTAAGACTAAAAAGGCAGGCCACCTCCAAACTGTACCAGCAGATACAAGCCTACATAGCCGACTACCTCTTAGAAAAAGCTGTAGAGAGATCTAACTTGATAGTCCAGCTTTTCAAATCCTGAAACCACACAGGCCCCTTAATAATTAATGTCCACAGACCACCAGTTCTCTCTGGAAACAGAACTGGGCTAAACTGGACTTCAGTTCACCTCTGACAATCATCTGACTTGCGAAGAGGAGGAAGAGGTAAAAGAAGTAAACTCACCTGGATTCAGACCTGGATCTAGATTTTGACCTGGAACGCCTGGAATCCTCCTTAGATCGAGATCTTGCAGGGGTGTGCCTCCCCGACTTGCCAGACCCATGAGCACTTCCGCTTCTGGAAGCAGAACGGGATTCCTGCACGCAGATATTGAAAGCCTAATTTGTACACAATTTCTCGTTTACCTAAGGTCTGTAAACAAGCTCCAGTGAAATAAATGGTAAAAATGCATATCTATGTGTCCGGGCAGTTGGCATTAGAACTGCCTAGATTTTTAAGAAGTTTTTTTTTTTTTTCTTTTTTTTTTTTTTTTCCCTGGTAGACACTTCTTTACCCTGCATATACTTTTGCTATTAAACAGATAATGCATGCATGTTTAGCAAAATATACAGGGACACATAAACAGACTAGTAATTACTTAGCGTAGTGCTTTCAGATTCCAGATTACTTCTTATCTTAACTTCATTTTTATTCCTTTTCTTCATTCTTCCGTTTCAAATTCTGACTTCTTTCATCTTCCCCACTTCACACAAATTGCTCAATATTCTACAAGTGGGACTTCTGGTCTGATAATTAGCATGCATTCACTTTCTTTTTTTTCAAATTTCAGCTTCACTTATTCCTGAGCTTCAAATAATTCTCATTTATAAAACTTGTCAAATGGCGACTTCCGCATTTTCCTTCTTCAACATTAACCTTAATAGAAAAAGAACAGGATGAAGAATATTTAAAAACTCCAGGATAAAATCTAGTGCCAAAACTGAAACTAGAAAAAAAATGTTTTGTGGACTTTTACTATATATGCAGTTCAAGAATTGAATCTACTAAATGCCCTATTTTATAAACAGATTCAAGTCAATTCAGTTTAACTTAGCACTAAGTAACTGAATTCTCTATTTATGCCTGTATTTAATAGCAAATGCACAGTGGATGAACTGAATATCTACTAATGAATTCTAGCATTAGGAAAGTCAAAATACTTTGCAGTGTAAGCCACATACTTAGCCAAAAATCAACAAGAAGTGACTTAACTAAGGTCCCTCCTGCAGCCAGAGATGACTAACTGATGTGCTTTTTGAATGCAGAAAGCACAACGCCATTGGTCTTGCAATGACTTACAATTACGCTAATTTTTGGGACACTCTTGCAGTTTAGAAGTCCTAGTTTGAAGGTTTATGAGCACACCCGCAGCTACTCTGCCTGCAAAGTGTGGTTACACATGCAGGCTTCATGCTTCCAAGTAAATCGTAATTTTCCACCAACCGAAAATGCAATTCTGTGCAAAACACTCAAACACTGTTCTGGAATAATACCCCATCTATTCTATTATTTACTGGCAATCTTCTTTGGCAATGACATAACCTAATTAGCATTTTCAATTTTTATATATTTTTAAATCAGGGTAATGCTTAACTTCAGACACATGGCTTAAACACCTGGTTTGAACACACTAGAAGGTATTATTTCAAGATATTAAAGAAAAGCTTCATTCAGCAGCAGAACTCTGTTTTTCCCTAAAAATAAACATGTCTAAACTTTGTGCTAATTCTGATTGAGAAAGCTCACTAATGACACCAGAATACCAGATTTTTCTCAAAAAATCGCTTGTTTTATCTTTGTAACATCTCTTAAACCTGAACACTCAGCTTAACGGGCATTCCGTACTAAGCATTCAGAAATTCATTTGCTAACTCTAAATTTAATCATGCTTAAACCACTTCCATAGAACTTAAAACAAGGTTTAGCTATTTACAATTGCCTAATACAATACTGTGGGGATGGGACACAACTTGCAGGATAAAGCACATTTTCAATTAATACTAAGAGCAACAGAAATAAAGCAAAGTTGATCAAGGCCATATTCTTCTCTGTCAAAGTGTTTAAGGAGGTGTTCGAAATTATAGCCACCTCATATATTAACCCTACAAAGGGCAGTGCAAGTATTGAGAACTCGTTATAAACAACAAATTTAACCTAAATCCATGATCACCTTTAAAAGAAAACAACCCGTGGAGATGAGTTCTGAGTTAATGTATTCATTTAGCCATAAGAAGTCTTCAGCTCTTTTTTTAAAAGAGTTAGACAAAGCAGGATTGAAGAAGGAATAAAAACCAAAACTAAGGCTGTTCCTCACTTGGGGAAGAATACATCTGTTCACAAAACATAACACTCTTGATAGATACAGGCTAGACAGAAGGAGCTATGTCCAAATACAGGTGGTCTAACACTGAAAAGGACACAAGAAATGCACGATGGGAGAGAAGCAGCAGGAAGATCTTGCCCATAAACACACTCCCATACCCTTTTTAGAAGTCAATAAGCTCTGAAAAAAAAATCAGTAGAATCAGTAGAAAAATGGTATTAGCATAAGCAAATGACTGAAGCCTTGAGTTATTTAATTTTTTTTTTTTTTTTTTTTTTTACAATCTTTGCTCTATTTTGTTAAGATTGATGGGGATACTGGATGCCTAGAATCTGAGAAGAAACTTAGGAAAGAAAAACCTGAAGGACAACTGTGTATCTAAATCAGAAAATTAAGCAGCCAGCTTATTTTCATCTAGCTCCTTTGGACTTAACAAAATTTTCCAGTTTTTAAACACCCACATTTTGTTTCCAGATCATCACTCTTCGAAATCTTTATCTTCAAACTACCATGTTTCACAAGATTATGTCCCTTTATTACTTCCAGCCTCAAAGGAACTCATTGTACCTCACCTGCTCCAGATATTACTAAGACTGGTAATAACCCCCAAAATTTCAAAGCTGTTACCCTCCCCACCCCAACAAAACCCTCCCTACCCAAAATTTCAAACACCAGGAGCCTGGAGCACTCCAAACTCAGTTTACACCCCAGTACACTGGCACCCATTGAGGGTTCACACAAGCCACTCCCACGGCTCAGATAAACTGGAGTTTCTACTATCTGGTTTTGTCGTTCTTAATACATTTTCTTTTTTCTACTTTTTGCTCTTTCGCTTTGTGAGTTTGACTGTTTTAAAAATGCCAAAGTAGGCTCCTGTCATGATATGTGAAGAAGAGAAAAGAATAAACAAACTTCTTTATCCTACCTATATTCAAATACTCTTGGTAAGCAGATCAAGACTGGTGTTCACTATTAAACAATCATTTTTTTTCCCCCAACCTTGAATTTGTGAAGTGTGGATTTTAAAACCCACCAGATCCCTTGATCTCTACCAACAGTTCTTTCCCTTCATCAGGCATTACTGGAATTCATGTGGAAGCCCTGAAGTCCAGGCTCATAGTTTCCAAGTGATTCTTTCCATACTTTAAGCATGTTAAAACCAACGCGTAATCCTGTAGGGATGGTACTTTAACACCCCTAGGCACATTCATAAAGAGGTGTTACAGCCATCTACTCTGTAAGCAGGGAATGTGACAACAGCAGGATTATTTCGGGGGCTGCAGATAGAAAAGGTTTCCATGGACAGAAGGGACTGCAAGGTATCTAAGCGAGGACCGTGTGTTCTCTGCACTTCCAAGATCCAGTTTTTCCTCACAGGAATAAAAAGTTTCAGATTTCAGTTACTTAATGTAAGATACAGTCAAAATTATTAGTTAAAATTATTTTAAAATCCTAAATCCCTATAAACTTAGATGTTTCCACTTGTTTTCTTAAAGAAAGGTGCAGCCCTACTTTACACATTATCAAATCTACAGTCATATTTATTCAAGGTGTAACTGTCCTAACTTCACATTCCTTCAACCTCTCTACTACTGAATTTAGGAATTGATCCAACAGAAAAATAACAGCTTTTGCCTCTCTCCCCCTGCAACACACATCACCAGATCAGATCACTGCCAGTGGGGCTGGGAATCCACTAGAAGGGAAAGCAGAACAACCCCTTCCCACAACAGTTACCAAACTCCACCAAAAAGAGACAAGAATGTATTGGGGGGGGGGGGAAATCAAGCTAACAGATGAAAAGCATGGAAGCCCAGCTTCCTCGCACCACCTCTACCGCAGACGCTGTGGGCTCATTCAGTGCCCCAAGATGGCAGGAAACTAACCCATCAGCAAAAAGCAAACTATTTTCTCACAGCTCAGGCTTCTGAATCAGCCCTCCAAGAAGTCAGATCAAGTGCCAGATAATGGAGGAGGAACACAGGGAATGACCTATTCTTTTGGTGGCATCAAGCTCTCAGATTGTTTCTAACCTTCTCAAACTGCTTCCTTAGACCTTCTTCCACAGCTTAGCTATAAACAGGTGTATTTTCAAAAACGCTAATTTATGTACCTTGTAAGCAGATCTATAAATTGAGCATTTATACCATTCAAGTTGCTCTGATAAAAAAATGAAAAAACCTGGCTACCACATTAAACAGTTTCTGATCTGACACATACCAAATAATCACTATCAGTATTAACTCATTCACAGGATGAGACTTTCTTTTTTCCGTTAACTAGTATTCTTTCCAACCCTTCCTTGCCAGAATTACATGCACTTCAGAGAGCACATTTTCCATGAATGAGAACAAAAGTGACTTCAAAAAACGTGGCAATTATTCCAGCATGCTGACAGTATTTGAAGTATAATCCAATATTTTAAGTATTGCTAGCATTTAACAGTACTCTCTTCAGTTAAAAAAAAGTTTCCAGAGTTTAATCCTACTATAGAGTACAAGCTGTAAAAGAGATTTTAACTGGGGATCCTCCCCCCCCTTTTTTATCTTTTTAAACTGTGACATAAACCAGTTTAAGTTTGTGTTGCTGATGAAATAACAAGCCCCATTACTTCCAAAAGCACCTAGTATTTCTTCTTCATCCCCAATGCTGACATAAGGACTCGTGGCTACACAATTGACTCAAGCCTGCAAACCAATGCAGCTGGAAATGGAATCAGAAAAAAAAATTTCAGCCGATTTAATTCCCAGATCTGACTGACTATACAAACACTAGTATGAGGCAGAAAGCGGGAACACATTTTCAGGAATACAATTCTTGTTGGCAGCATGGACTTGGAACAGCTTAACAGACAGTTGTAAAGTAATATCCTAGATTATTTATCCAAACACTGTTCCTACTCCGCAGAGACTTTAGCACTTCCAGCTTGAAAAAGTAGAAAGCCATTGACTCAGTAAAATATAAACCTTAAGTAAGCAAAAAATCTCATAAATAACAC